TCTATGTAGAGGGAGATCGAAGGAACTTTGTTTCCTTCTATCTCCGGGTCTCCAGTCGCAGCAACCTCCACGTGGTGAGACCTGGTAATCGGTATTACTCGTGACGAACAATCCTTCGTCGCGAGTAATAGCGAGCTAATGGCTGCGAACTTGTAATGAGATCTTTAGATATAAAATGTGTAAAGTGTAAAGTAATAACCAGTTCTTTAAATATGCAAGAAAGGATCTAAGTAGGTTCGTCTAAAATAAAGCAAATTGGTATTATAACTAGACTGCAGATTTTATGCATTTATGATACAAACTAATATAGTAATTACATACTACACATAACCAAAATGTATGGGCACTTTTACAAAATGATATAACAGCGTTATATTATTCAACATAAATTATGTATATTTTTTATATGATTTCTAAATTACTATACGTCATAAATGCATACATCCTATAGTCTAATTATAACTTCTAAACAAATACATTGATTACAAAAAAATCATAAAAATTGTCCCGAAACTAGTCAAACAAAAGAAGTATTTCACAAATAATGAAATCTATGCCTTCATATGCAACAACATAATACTTCCAAAAACCAAACAAACACGTTGACTTCCGATGCCCCGCGTGAAATTTTTCAATTTCCCATTCCGTGCACGGGATCCAAGGACGAAACTCGACGACGTTCCCATCCATTAAAGCAGTGTATCTCCAGTGAAATTCGCAATACTTACTTGGCAAAAGGTCGCGTAAGTGTGCGCGTGTCCCAGTGATTGTGTTCAAGCACACGAAAGGCAAGGGGACGGAGACGAAATCGAATCGCGGGTCTCGTTCCTAATTATGTCGTAATGAAAATAAATCGTTACATTTGTACAACCACCGTGTCTCTTTGGACATTTTCGCAGATCGTTCTCCTCGTCCGTTTCACCCTTTTCCTGGAGGATCTCTCTCTCTCTCTCTCTCTCTCTCTCTCTCTCTCCCTACCGAACGCTGCTCGTTTCCTTCGGTTTCTTCGCCACCTGTTTGATTCTCTCTAAGGTACACCACTATCTATTTGTCTATTTCGGCGTTTCTACATTCCCCTCAGCACCTTGTGCCTTCGTCTCCGACAGAATTCAACCCCAGTCTTACACCCCAAGCTCGCCCCGCCTCGCCTGTCCCGTTTGAACAATCAATTCCAATTTCATGGGAATCTCTTTTAAATCTTGCACTTTCCGTGTTTCACCCGGGACCTTCGTCTGGAACTTCCACGGTAGGAAGGTGCTTTACGGAATCGAACAATGCGACCTGCTCGCGAGGATTATCTTTGCTGTAGATCAAATTTTTAAGGGGTCTTGAAAGTGAAATTGCTGTAATATAGTCTTCTTTGGGAATTAGTTCCGAAGAAATGGACGCAAGTACAATGGAAAATAAATAGGACTCTTTTAAAATTGTCCTGTAAGGAAGAAAACTACCTTGGACGTGTGAAAGTCGTAATGGCTATATCAAACAATTTTTTTTTTTTTTTCGAAAACAGTTGACTCAATAGATCTGTTTACCAAGGGGTTTGCAAAGTTCTATCTTATAGAATGCAAAATCAGATACTTGTGAGTTATAATTAAATATTTTTGTATCATAACTGTATTACACCTACTTTTATACTTCCAAATAACAGTATAAATTTGTACACACACTGCAGGAGAATTTGTGAAAAATAAATTAAAGGTTTAAAGAAAGATGTATAACGTCGTTGCCCTCTGTACGAAGTTTTCGTCGGTTAGGAGAGATAGGGACACTGAAAATATGAATACACAACAATTGCAACACCTTTACGTTTATTTGTAATCTACCAGTAAGATCAGCAATAGTATAATTGTAATAATAATATAATGTAATAATATGTACAATCAAAGAGAGACTCCTACGGACATAATTAGTTTAGGAAAATATTTTACATAGGCGGATATTTGTACATTAAAAACATTTAAAACAACGATCGGCCATTCGTTTCTCTACGATACCAAAAGGCTGTCTCGGCAACTTTTGCGTGTAAAATCGTTTAGACATTTCTCGCCGTCAAACGATCGGCCATTCGAGCCGTGTTTGAGCAAAAACTTAGCGAACACACTCGGGTCCAACCTGATTCCGCTTTCAAGACACGATTTGCATGTACACAAGGATAGAGTAACGTCGATAGCAAATGAATAAATATATGTGCAAAGTGAGTACCTCTTAACAAATTCTGTCACCAGTTAATCTCTTACTCTACGATCGCCTCTCTTAGAAACTAATCTCAATGCGCCGCGGGTTTCACGTTTCCCGTCGAAACGCGTTGAAACCTATATAGAAAAAGAAGGTCTACTCGAAATCATCAGCTGACGTTTCGAGGACAATCTTTTAATCGTCAAGCTTTCCTTGACAAAATATAGCAGAATTTATGCGTTACTGAAGCTAATTTTCATAGACACCAAGTGCTAATTCGGTGTGTACTTTCGTTTACAGTGTAGTCGTTTTCTGGACGTTCAAATTCCATTGTAAACATTATGCCAGATTAACATTATTTGGAATAAAATGTATAAAAATTAATTTTAACACGATTAAAAGATATTATCGAGGAAATAAAATAATTTGTTAAAATCAAATTTCAATGCATTTTAAGATATAGACCCTCCCTCTCTTTCGATGGTTATGGTCTTTGCACTGTTACGACAAGTGTAAGGCAAAAAGATTAATTAATCAATCGTAGTCAGTGTCGACGAAAACATTGACACTGAAGCATTTATCACTGATTTCGAGTAGACCCAGAAGAATGACGTTGATCTAGCATGTGGAGCTATCCCTACCCCCTCGTCTCAGACGTATGTTACAGTAAAACTTATTTAATAATAATCAGCGATCAAGCGTTAAATAGCACGTGAACGTAGAACCGCGAATGATCCGTTTACGTTGACGCTCATAATGTACACACAGTTCTCGTTCCACCCTTCATCGTTTTGATCGTTAACTTGCGAAAGTTGTTCGTTACGGCGACACGCGCCGCTGGCACGCTACAATTCCCGCGTGTGAAATTACTAACTAAGCAACTTAGTTAATTAAGCCTAAGGATAACGTTCGAAGAACTTGCCGCGAGATACGAACGAATCGCTCGACTTAAGTCTCGGTTGTTTCTGTACAAACGGTACTTATCAATAGAAAGATTCGTCACGGTCGATGCTAGCTCGACCGACAGGTGTTAGAATACCCCTGAACGAACTCGTAGGCGAAACCAAAACCATCGTTCTAAAACGTTAAACTTTAATAACCCATACCTAGCTACGAGAGAATATGCATGAACATTTAAATAATAATAAATAAACGAAATATGTAAACGATTATAAACGGAACCGATGTTGGATTATCCCTGAACTCTGCGAACGTATTCTAGGAATCTAGTCAACGATCATTTGTTGCTAATCGTTAGAACGTACTCGACCTCGTTGTAAACCCTTATCGGTAAATGTATTCTAGAAATATCTGGAAACCATCTTCGGAGTACAATATAAATCATTTAATTAACTTCTTGATGGAAAAGAAAGTTTTACCTGGTATTTTTTTTCTTTGTTTCCGCCATTTGTGAATTAAGAAAGAAATTTGCTTGTACTCCGAAGGTGATTTCGAACGCGAAATTGAAAACGTGTAAGTTTCTTGTTAAGATTTTATAAAATATACTAATTAGATTAAAACCGCATCGCATCATCGGGGTAAAGCGATAAATGTTTCGTAATATGTGTTACAAAATGATTAGCAATTAGCTCAACCTCGGCCCTTCGTTTTGCATTTTGTGTTACTATATATCACGTTCTCGTTTCCTTGAATTTGTATATTTTTTAACAAAGTCGTTATAAATAAAGAATCTTTAAAGAAAAGGTTAATAACAGACATTCTCGATAAAACTACCTGATTTTTGTCATTCTTGTGATGAATATTCTTTTCTTTTTTTTTCTTTTTTAAATAGACAAGAAAGGGAAGGGATTTAAGTAAAAAATCACACATCCATACACAATTGACCGCAATTTTCGAGCAATCTAAAGTAGACGCATTTGTTCGTCTATTCTAAAAAAAAAAAAAATATTTTCTTTTCCTGATACACATAAAAAGCAATGAACATTCATTACCGTAGAACAGTTCTCGAAAAAATCCCTTACGTACATGATTACAATATTATTGGCTTTATTAATTTTGAAACAAAACTTAGAGACTTAATAGATCAGAATATAAATTTCAAAATGTATATAATGATTTTTCGATAAATAGAAAATTTCCATTCCAAAAAAGTGTACAAAATCCGTCTGTCTTTCGTTTATCTTAGATCTATGTAACCCATTAAACCTTTCGTTTCAAATATATACGCTCTCACAGGTCCACCAATATACGAAAGACGTATATGCACGGCCCATAATATTTATTTACTACGATAGATTGGCTGTTGCGACAGTAGGCCTCTTGTTAAATGACGCATAGTAACCGAATCCAAATGGACATTGGTAACTATTTTAATGTTGTCATACGCTTAGAATGTAGTTTTAAATTTTCAGTTTTCAATACGAATGTTTATGGAATTGATTGTAAATATACAAAAAAATCGCGATAGAAATAGTGTTAAATAATATAGTGTGCCCTGAAATTAGCTGTCCAACGAAAATGAAATTTTGTTATAATTAGTATGTGCCAACAAGTCTTAATAGCATATGCACGTGCGAAACATAGCACTGCGTAATCTCATCATTCTAAATTCATGTAGGGTTAATTTTCTCTTTCACACGACCTAAGAGGAACGAACGACAGAGAAACAAATGATATCCTGCGAAAACGCTTCAACCAGATTCAGTCAGGACCCACAGTCCCGCCACTTTTACGTTATCAGCAAACACGATCCCCCTATATACTAAAGCATGAAGTTTAACAATTCCGCTCGAAATTCGGCCACGAATATCAATCATTCACGCGCGTATCGGTAACCCCCAGCGCGCGAACGTTCGATGAGACGAGCACTCGGTGCCCCAAAAAGGAAAAGCTTTACCCGTCACGGCGAACGAAAGGTGAACAATTCACGGTAAAATCTATCCTAGGCTCTGTACAAACGTTTAAAAAGAATTCGCTTCGAAAAAATCGCTCCGCTACCCACGAAGTTTCGTCTTTCTCGCCGATCACCGGGAACACGATATCGCATACGTTAACCTCAACGGTAGGAGTATATTTCCTAGCTATCTGGTCCCGTGCACGATGAAATCCAGTTACCAATTATCACGCTTCAACCCGGTCGATCCTCAGTCCCCAGTTACTCGTTAAAACCTGACCTCAGGCTCGGGCCAGCGCCGCCGAAGGACGAGCTTTCCCCGAAGCTTCGATACCGATACGTTGTAAAATAAACGTTTTATTTCCTTTTCGCCCCGTCCCCTTCATGCAGGATCCACAACAAACGATACGGTCCGTGTGCCCAATTGTCTGCGATCCACGAAGTCCCTCAGCCGCGGGGTGCAACCGGTCGCAGATGCAGTCGCTCTGAAATGACAACCTCTTCACCCAGGCTATCCGCTATGGAAACTGGCACGACTCGAGGCGCTTAATGTTCCTGCTTGTCCTGACAGGATGCCGTTTCCTTCCGGGTCGCCTCCGTAGCCTCGATCACTTCAAAGCCTTCCGACATGGAAGTATCTGTGGACGACCCATTGTCCCCTGGCTCGGAAGAGGAAGCGGCACCGTCAGATATCGGCGCGACTGATTTCGCTTCCGTGTCCTTCCTGATGTTCGCGCTGGGCGCCGTCGTCGGGTTCTCCGTCGCTAAGGTTCAAAGATTCTGAGCATCTGCTTGGTGAAGATTAAGGATGGACAAGCGAGGAAGGATCGAGCGGACGTGGAAGCTAACTAAGGGGTTGCAACACTTTCGTCGTTTGCAAAAATCCAATTTTTTTTGTTTTGTTAATATATATATATATATATACCATAAACGTTATATATATATATATATATATTAACAAAACAAAAAAAATTGGATT